ATATATATATATATATATATATATAATATATTAATTATTGATATTAATAAATTATTATATCTAAATTACATATATATAAATAAGAATATTATATGCATATATGTACATATTTTTTTATTATATTTACAATATTTATGATATCAGATTAACCAACTATTCATTTATCCAGTCTCATAAAAGTCGGTCAAGAGGAAGTCTACTATAAGTAATATTTTAAGTTCGCGGCATGTATAAAGTGCGCCTATCTCGCCATCTGGTGAGGTAGAATGTAACTGCTTATGTAATAAAATTAATATTATCGATTGTCGATAATTATGATTGCAAAAACAGAACGACATAACGAAATTATATCGCGAATATAAATTCATTTATTTATTATGATGATTCTCGTCCCGTTATAAAGAAAATTCAACAATTGTATTCAAGAATATTCATGTTTTCGTAAATTAGTTTTAAAAAATAAATTTTATCAAAAGTAGTGTACTATCATACAAAATCATTGTTTTTTGTTCACATTTCTATTAATCGCTCCAGCTTTGAAATAATTATTCAATTAAAATATAAATTAAAATATATATCAAAAATTAAATTCTATTTGATGAGACGCAATAAACTTACCCATTTGTAGAAACGCATGTATAACGTCTATTAGATTAAATATTTTTATATCTTAAAGAAATTTAAAAAACAAACTTATACATTTGTTGATAATGATTTTTTTAATTATTTGATTTCTTTTAGATATCTGCGAGATCTAATTATACATCAAATTTCAATAAATATATTTTTTATCATGTTTTATTCTTGTATTTCAAGTTATAAATTTATTTAAAAATCGTAATATAAATTATTGTTTTTCTTTTAAAATGTTTATAACAATCAAATTTTATATCACGAATACTCGCACATATCTAATGTTTCGGATTGTATTATCCAAATGAGATCAAAAATTGCGCATATAAATGTATAGTCATATGAAAATGTCGACTATAAAAATTAATATACTGAATTTAAATTTTTAAACAGTCTGCCATTTTCAACCGATTAACTTTGATCAAAATATGATTTATGTTTCTCAAATCGAAAAAAAAGTTTTTTAAAAAACTTTTAAAAAACTCTCGTTATAAGAGTTTCAAGATTAATTCACCATAAGAATTCTGTAATTTGTAACAAGAATAGATATACAGCTAAAATAGCAAATATATATGTATATGCATGTGTGTGTGTATATATATGTGTGTATGTATATATATATACTAATCATGTATGTATATACGTATATACACAGACATATCGTAAAAATTCTAATATCGAACCTTGTAGACATCTTTTCTCATAAATGCTAATCATTTATATACTTATGTATAGATAAAATAAATGTACTATTTACTCTCGTAAGAAGGACTAAAAGTTTTAATTTATAATGTAATGTATGTTATAAAGTTCCATTTTTGATTGAATCAGCAAAAAATAGGTTTCAGCTATACTTCCTATATTTTCTATAACAGGATGCTCACGCTGGCACACGTCGTTCCAATCCTTCACGCTAGCACGTAGGAGATAAGATCAATTGCCACACACGAAGCTTAACCTTAACTATATACACGCGTATCGCATTTGATTTTAATCTCTCGCGAAAAGTAACGCTTTGACTCGTCATACTACTGATAAGAAAAAGAAAAAAATACATGGAATGGCAAATCCTATCTTTTCTTATGATATAATAATTATCAGAAGCAAGCAATTCAACTAAAATCACTTTCTTCTTTATCTTTTTTTCTTTTTCTTTCTTCGTTTACAAATTTCTAATATAAACAACTTTATTAAATTTTATCAAGTTAAAAAAATTTACTCAAAAGTTTCAAAAAACCTATTCAAATATCTTGCAAAGAATATTAAGAAGAGAAAGAAACGGAGTTAATTTCTAATTTAAGTTTCTAAAAGATATGCAAACGCGATTGAAACAAATTGTTTCCTTAATTGCACATACGTTCGAACGTTTGAACGTTCAACGATTAGATTTATCATTCCATTTTTATTTATATCTTATTAAAATCTGTGAACCTTTTAATTATAATTCATGAATATAATCTATCTGTACATTCACAACCGTTCAAATACACAATAATATCAACATATTTAATATTGGACCATTATAAATGAAAAAAGAGGGTGCTTAATAAAAAGATTTACACTCATTACACAATACCGTCATTTCGTGAAATTCTATCATAAAAAAATACATATGCACAAGACTATCTTACAAATCTTTATTTTTCTTTCCATTTTTTTTCCTATTCTTTTTTTTTATTTTTTTTTTTGTTTTTTGTTTTTTTTTTTAATTCAAGAGATAGAAACAAAGTTAAAATATTAGTTACCAAATACGAAAGAAACTTAAAATGTTAAAATCGATGAACCGGTTGATATTAGTAACATTATGCGAGGAAGGAGACAATTGATATCACGCTACGACGCGTTTCTCAGAAATTTTATTTCTGTATTCCATGAAAAAAGAGAAATCGTTTCACCATAATTCTCATATATTCCATTTCATTCAGTCATTATTTATATAAGATAAGATATTACAGTAATTTGCTATGTACGAATTAATTTCAGCTACTTCCACATCAGATCTGACTCGAAGACTGATATTTAAAGACTCCGACCTCAGCTCTGATTTGAAAACAACTTGTCTATATAAGTCCATATTAAATATATTTTACAATAATATTATCATTGTACATGAACAACGTACGTTCTACACCTCACTTTTGCATCTTAAACTAATCAGTGCACAAAAAGTAATTTTACTTTTTATCAAAGTAAAATTACATTAAAATAACTACTCTATGGTACCAATACCATTAAATACATTAATTAAACATATATTCATTCTGATAATGAATTTATAATATATTTGATCTTTCGTCTGCAAATTAAAAAGAAAAGTAATGTTCATGTACACTGATTAGAATAACGATCGGCAAGAAGGTGTCAATTTGTTAAAATAGACGAGGGGACTGGATTTGTAACCCCAATGTGTGCGCCGCCCTGGTACCTGCTACAATAAAATCAATATTTTATAACAAAGTCATTCATTCCAAACAAGTATAATGTTTTGACAATGTTTTCTATGATTCAATTTGCTTTTCAATCATATACTGACATTATTAAAATCTATAAAAATCTATACAAGTTTCATACCATTCATTCACGTGTATTATTAAATAATTTTTTTTTTTAAATGTATTATGCACTCTCTTATATCAATTGAAAAGACTGAGAATATGTGGAAAATTAATCTAATGATTTCTTTTTAATAATAAAACTTCTTTTTTTTTAAATTTCAATTAAATCTTAAATTATTTATTTATTAATAATAATATATATCATTATCAAATTGCTTGATTATATCTCATAGTGTTACTTTGTATTTATTACTTTATAATTATAATTATTCATATTCTCTTAAAAATTAAAATCCAAACAGACAAAGCTAATTATATATTTTCCTTATATTTCTGTAATTACTTTAAAATATGCATACATAATCCATACATTCTCATTCTTTTCCATTTGAATTTTATTTGACAAAAAATGTTAATGCTAGTGAGACAAATCAAAGAAACAATTATAAAAAAAAATGCTTACATGAAGTTGATAAACAGGCAAAAGGAGGTTATTCCTTATTTTCTTCAGTAGTAGTGGTGTTAGAGAGATTTTGAGACTCTGACGAAGATGAAGGTGGTGCCTCTGTTGTTGTGTCTGTTGCATCTTGACTCGAATCCGAGCTATCCTTTATGTCCTCCTCCTTTTTTCTTCACTGATACTAGAACTCTTGCTTTCTTCTGCAAAATTCTCTGATTCTTCTGCAACTTTTTCCTCTTTGAAATTAGTATCAAGAGTCTTTTCAATAGCTTCTTTACTTTCTAATTTTGTAACACCTTTGTCTTCGCTGTCTGCCAATTTTTCTGTTTCCTCCTTATGTTCATCCACATCCATTTTCATAGATTCCTCTTCAGAATGTTTTTCACTTTTATTATTAGCTGCTTCTTCATCCGTATTATTGTCATTATTTTTTTCTTGCCTTTTAGGACGCCCGCGTCCACGACCAGTACCTTTTGTCGATGTATCCTTTTTCTTTTTTAGGTGGAGATGGTACAGGTGTTGATGAAGTTAGGCCTCGTGCTGAGCTACGTGTGCGCCTTCTACCTTCAACTTCTCCAACAGATGCATTTAAATCCTGTAACAAAAAATTATTTATTAATTTTATTCTTAATTTTAAAAATAAGTAATATAATAAATTCTTACATTAAAGTATATGTAACTGTGATCAACATAATTGTGATGAGAATTTTAATGAGTAAAACTATTTCACTATCTCCACGCTTAAACAAAATTTTTCTATTTTAAAAAAACAATATAAAATTCATATTATCTAATTAAATAAAAATATTCAAAATGAACTATAAAACTATAAAAAAAAAATATTAATTGATAATTAAAGTAATAATAAAAAATCAAACAACCGATTTGTGAAACATAAGTAACAATTCATAATTGGCGGCCACGACATGTATTAGCGGGAATTCTTCCCCTCCAAAGACTTGAGAGAACTTCCCCTCACCCCTACTCCAGCCCTTAGCATCCCCACTCTTTACACCCTTCTGCTCACGTAGCAATGTTTACGGGTAGGCTAAATGGAGGGAAATAACGAAGCGAAGGGATGAAACTTTGGTCACATAGATTTTCAAAATACAACATTTAAACATTAGAGAAATAAACTTTTATTATGTGATTCAATAAAAAGATATGATTTTTATTATTTTAATAAATAAAATAAGAAAATGAAAGAGAAAAAATAAACGAAAAAAACACGTGATACCTTTGTGACTCGTTCTCCTTCTTGAGCCAACCTTTCTAATGTAGAGAGTCTTTTCGTGCCTCCTCGTTTATTTTTCGTTGGACTTGGTTTCTCTTCTGCTGAATGATCCTGAAAATATTTTTATTATTGCGTTTTAATAAGTTTCAATGAATAGAAACATTTGAAAACTTATAATGTCGTTCAATCGTAATTTAACATAAAAGTAGCATCAATAATACAAAAACGAATTATATCCGATTTAAAGATTATATTAAACTAAAAGAAAAACACACAAACGTGATAATAATTACATCCGCGATAAGATTATCAAGGACCGTTGAACTACGAGAATATACGCTAAGTTTGTTTAAGTTTCCCGCCATTTTGCCAAGTCGATATGTATTTCTAGCGTCGTAGCCTCGAACGATGTTAAGAGAGAACAAGTTTTTGTAGAAAACCTCATGACATATATGGAATCAAAATCTATTTCCCGCCTTTTTTTTTATAAGGGTCTATTGCATTAACTAGAATCTCCCTTCGTCATAAGAATCACAAATAAAAAACATCCACCATCTTTGCCAATGAAGGACAAACGGCGCAGCTTTGAAAAATCACTGAGCCTGTGGTTACGCGCAATAAGGCACCCGTGTTTTTCAGCTGTATAGTTTCGTAGTTTGTATAATCACTTTCCAAATAACATTCCTTCATTGTAATACACGCTATTCTATCGAATTTTCGAGAAACTAAGCATCTTCTTGTATTTGAGGGGCGCAACACGCCGCCTTAGCATGAAAACTCGGCTTGATGAAGATATTTCTCGTGCTTCCCTCTGCTTACCTTTGATACATCCTCGATGTTGTTATCATTTTTGTTCTCCGCCTTAATCTCGGACATTTCTTCGCAACTGAATCACTCAAAAACACTGGAAAAACCGCAGTTTCTCAACAAGAATTTGTGCTGAGCCCGGTCGCACTGTTTATACGATAAGCAAAGATGGCGGTTAGCGTGGGTCACGTGACACATCGTCAAACGCAGAGCGGGAGTTCAGAGCGCCGCCTTGTGATTAACTGAGTAATTTGACACGTAGCGACGCATCACATATCGAACATTTTAAATTTAAACATTTAATTTATATTTTATTATTCTCTTCGCATTAAATTACTATTGATATCATTTCATCGACTATTACAAAGATAAATTTTCTTTTAAATTTTTCTTTGAAATGTAAAAATAATTAGATATTATTAAAACGAAAAATATAAAATATATGTTATATATTTTATATTTTTGTGATTATTATTGAAATACATCTCATATATTTATAATATAAAATATTTTTTAATTTACTTCTGAATGTAAATAAAGAATTTTTAATAATTTTCTTATAGTCGATAATTTAATATCCGCATTTATATGAATTTACTTATTAATAACAATAACATTGATAAAAATACATATTAAAATAAAGCAATGTCTTTTTTTTACTTCAAAACAAAAAGAAATGAATACGTACAATGATATAAAATTAGATCATATCAGATTAACTAAACGTTTATCGCTTCAGGATATAGTAATTGAACATTTGATCATTAAAGAACATTGTAAATGTTGAATGTAGTTTTCTTTTCATACAGTTTCTCATATGCCATTATCATTGTTTAATATTTTAAATGATTTTAATTATTTTAATTAATTATCATGATAATTATTTATAGTAAAAGATATTACCAAACATACTAAATTTTTTTAAAATGAATAATTGCTCTTTAATACCAATTTAATGAGTTGGCATTCTTCTAAACCAAAATCTTGCTCTAAAATCATCGCTGCATGTTAAGAATGCTGGAGCTGTTGGAGAATGAACAATCAGTCTTACTGGACCATTATGTCCTAATGATAATAATTGTTTTCTAGATGCATTTCGAGAATTCCATGCACATAATGATGTCGTAGCTTCATCAGGAAACATTACATAATCTTCAGTATGATTAAAAATAGCTTGAGCTTTATGTTCTTGTTTGCCTATTAAAAATCATTGATCAATTATAATACATAAATTAATTTTTTTTATGATATTAAATTAACAACATTCATATGTAGTTTTAATATATTTAATGTTTTGATATTTTACCTGTAGTTCCAGCACCTGTATATGCTATTAAACATCTGCTAGTAGATAATTCCCATAATTTAATTAAAGAATCTTTTCCTGATGATAATAAATACTAAAAATCAAAATTGCAAGATTAATATTAATTATCTAATTTTTAGATTTATATTTTAAATATATCAAATATACATATATTTCAAATATTAACCTTTCCATTTCTAGTAAATGTCACTGAACATACTTCATAGCCATCATGTGCTTTCACAAAGGTATTTATACACCGATTTGATACACCATCCCATAATTTAATACTTCCATCTTTACCTGCTGAAGCATAAGTTTTTGCATCAGGAGAATATTTAATACTAGTTATTCCAGCAGTATGTTGATGACTTGGTATACTACAGACGAAGCATTGTGCTGTATTAACATCATATAATCTCACTACTGAATGATTAGTTCCAACAACTAAAAAATCACCAGTAGGATGGAAAGATAAACATCGTATTTGATCTGCATCAGTAATGGTTCTGAATGCCTTTTTAACACTAGCTTTGCTGAAATCAAATAGCTTAATAGAAAAGTCTCTGCTTCCAGACACAAGGATAGGTTCTCTTGGATGAAACTCTAAACAAGTTACTTCTTCTAAATGATCATAAAGTGTTCTTATAACTGGATGGCCACCTGTTTGATCACCTGGTGCCATTTCATCTGGTGCAGATTTAGCTAACATTCTATCCACATCTAAAATTTTAATTGATGCATCTACTGATCCAGTTGCTATCAATTGACCATCTGCAGAAAATGCTCCAGCTCTACAATTTCCTTTATGAGAGGTTACATAGGCAGTCTCATATTGTGCAGGTTCTGGAGCTTGAGTTTGAGCTTCTGTTTCAAATTCTAAATCTAGGCCAGGCCCCAAAGTATTGTCAAAAGTTGATGTGAAGGAAGATAAATTACTTGTATCTTTTTTAGAACGATCAGGTTCATGAGCAAGTCCAATTAACATTAAATGAAGTAAACGATCAGATGGAGGACATGGAGGTTCTGCTTGGATAATATTTGACAATTGCACAGCCAATGTTTGATGTCCATCGTAAAATAGTTGACTGAAACATTTATTGTAAATTATTATCAATTTTTGATATAATCTTAAAAATAAATTAAAAAAACATATTCATAAATTTTATAATTTTTATAATTAAAAAACTTTTATTTTTAATATTTCAGAAGATTAAAAGGTAATTACACATATATCTAAAAAATAAAAATATGTAACCTTATCATAAGTCTATAAAGGAGTTCTCTGCTTTTTATAATATTTTTCGGATCCACTTCTGGTTCTTTCATAATGTATGAATTTTGTATTTACGATAAATCGAAGTATGTCACTTCTTTTCAATATAATGCATTAAATCTGTAGATAAAATGTCTATTAATCAATGTCTTTAATATTCGAGGTTATATTTCTTTCGTGTAACTAATTTAGTAATTTCATTTATCATTGAATTTTTACATATCCAATTTAATAGTCTTTTCCTACTTAATCAATAAAAAATATTTATCAATAAAAATATTCCTTTAAGAACAAATAGACAATAAAAAATAGTATGTACAACTTATCAGAATGGCCGATGTGCACGAATGTTCTAAATTGAAAGTAAATTTTCTAAGAGAGAAGAATAAATCCATAGCAAAGCGTAAGAAATTATTATCTTCTAATTATATTATTAAAAAGAGACAACCTTTTGATACAGAAAAAAAACGCGATAAAGACATATTTATTACTAATAAAACAAATTTTAAGGTAATTTTTACTATAAGATTACTATAACCTTATTTTTAATATTGTTATTTATGTGTTAATAATTTTTATAATAAAATTTCATTTATACAGAATTCATCTTGCAGCTTTTTATTATATTATCTACCTATCGAAACATTATAAATATTAATTTAAATGTTATAATTTATTCAATTTTTTGTTTAATTTTATATTTATATTAAATACAAGTTCATAATTCATTATATAGTTATTTATTCAACTAAACAAAAATAATAAATTTAAGAACAATACTTTTTTGTTCTTGTTAATCTTAATTGATTATTTTTTATTTTCTATAACATAAGGCTCAATTGAAAAAGTGTGAAAAATTCTTAAACAATGGTAATTTTGAAGTGATTATTCATGGTCTTGGTTCTGCCATACAAAAAGCATGCAGCTTGGCTTTACAATTAAAGGAAATACATTATGGTGGTATAGAACTAGATATCAAAACATCTACAATACCTATAATTGGTATATAAATATTATAAAATAATATATTCATGATGTTGAACACTATAATAATTTTATATTTATTACAGATGATTTTGAACCTCTTGATGATAATGCAGATTATGAAACAATTAATCGAAATAATTCAGCAATACATATTCGTGTTTATAGAAAATTTTCAATAGGTATCCTTAAATATCAAGAATAAAATATAATTTTTCAAAAAATATTGAAGATTTTTTAATAAACATAACTTATTAAATTTATTTATAATATGATAAATGAAAACATAAAATCAAATTAATAATTGTATCAAATTTAATCCCTTTAAAATGATATTTTCTTTACATGAATTAGTACATTGGTTGGGATTAACAATTTTTGAAATATGGATAAATTTAGTTTCATTAACAATCTTCACTGTGTTATTAGCTCTTAAGTTGGATGATAATTATTTCTTGGGTCATACAGGATGGTGGATAGTATTTTCACCACTTTTTGTTGCAGATGGTTTGAATACTTATTTTTGTGCAATTATTTTCATAAGAATGCATTTGGAAGGAATGACTAAAGCTGCTATTTTAAGAGCATTATGGAGTATTATATTATTACTTTTAATATTTGTATTTAAATATCTTTTGTGTAAAAAATTATCAGGTCAAAGTCCTTTAGAATATTCAGAAGTTTTAAGTCCTATTTTTATTCTTTTGCAATTAATTGCAGTTAGAGCATGTCAACTTCATTGACTACTGCAGAATATTATTATCTATAAATACAAAACTGCAATAAAATATTCATTTTAACTATTATGTAAATAATTTATATATATAATATAAATAATTACTATCAAGTTGTTCAAATTGTTCGTTTCTTATTTCATTATCTTAATAAGAATATTGTTTCAAAAATGAAGAAATTATAATGTGAATAATAGAATTGTATTTAAAAATTTAATTGATAAAAACAATATAAATATAATATTGTAATAAAGAATGATTCATTTGTACTATTGTCTTTTAATTTACCTAATAATTAATAGTATAAATATATGCAATAGTCATTAATAATAAAAATTTGAATTGCAATTATTTTTCTATAATTATTCATATTTTTAGCAAATTTATTTAAATTTTAAATCAATTTAAAATCAATATTTTTAAATTTTAATTAGTAATCTATATAAAAAAATGTCATAACATTTTAATATATAAATTAATAAATAAATTTTTAAAATAAAAAAATAATTTTTTAATTTAAAAATAATTTAAATTTGAAAAATTTTTAAATAGTAATATACGATTATAATGATAATAATAAGCAATGAGACAGAATTAATTTTATAAATTTAGCAATGTTCTATTTATATTTTAAAGGTAAATAATGAACAAGTGTAAAGCTTAGGATGGTCTGAATTCTCCCCCCAATCATCCTTTGTCTAAAATCAATATTTCTAGCGAGAGGGTGAGAGAAACGGATGGAATTGTGTTCGCGAATTAGAGAAGGGGCTAATCGGACTGCTATAAGTAAAGCCTGTTGCTGCAGTCACATTTCAAAATTCGTTATTGCAATAAGTTGTTCGCTCGAATTAAAAAAGAATTTGATTATGTATTCTTGCGATTTAAATATTTGAAAAACTTAGTGATGTGCTGTGAATATCAATCTAAAGATTATGGATAAGCTGAGTAATTGGACCCGTGGTTAGTTTTTTCTTACATTTTATAATTCTTTTTATTTAGTGATTCTATAATTTATAGTTTTATATTATTAATTTAATTAATAATATAATATACAGTTTAAAATATATAATTTTCCATGGTAAACATTGAGATATAATAAAAAAAAAAATTGCTGATTTTATAATCATTATATAACATTATAAACTTATCATTATAAACTTATCAATTTTATAATTATTTTACAATATTATATCAAATAATAATTCAATTATTTTTACTTTACTAATAGGTATGAATATATCATCAACATCACTATCTGGACAAAATTGTATTTCAAATTTATCAACATCTTCAATTTTAGATAAATTATTAATCATTACTCCATCATTGGTATCAATAAACCAAGAGTTAAAATGGATTTTTTTTTTACATATGTATGGTTTTGCCTGTCTCTTCTTTGTACTTGCATTTTATACATTTTTATCTATTTTACACTTAAGGTATATATGAAATTATATTTTATTCTAATGATATATTTTTAAAAATATATAAATTATAAAAATTATAAAAATTTTAAATATAAAAATATATAAATATATATATATTTTTTTAAAAGATCCTTATATCAAGCCGGCCTTTTATGTCTACAATAAATATGTTTTTATGTATATTTGGAGCATCAAGAGCAGCATGTCTTTTTATAGATCCATATAATCTTAAAGATATTATGCCCAAAATTATTGGATCTATAGTGTGGGATATTGGATTTCCATGTATAACATCTGCTTTTAGTCTTATACAACTGGCATTTTTACAATTAACTCAGGTAATTTTAATGTTATGATAAAAATTAAATATTAATTAAGAATGATTTTATATATATTATATATATTAATAAATTTTAATAAATAAATTTTAGCTCAAATTTGGTCCAGAAAAGATTCAGAAAGAATCTTGTCTCAGTTTAATCATAACAGGACATTTTTTTTTCATAATTGCTAGTGATATTGCTCTTATCTCTCACAATTGTTATATGGTAAAATATGTAGTCCAAATAGTGTTCCTTATCTGGAGTATTCTTTTGTATTTAATATTCCTACATGCAGGATATAAACTAATTCATTTACTACAAACTGTACCAAATAGTATGTTAATGAGGGATTCCAATACACATCAGAAAGGTTTGTTTATACATATTATTTTTAATTTATTTATACATATAAATTATTATAAAACTATGGACATAAAGAAATCATATTAATACTTATTTATATATTATCATCAATATTCTATTCTATATTAATTTTATTCTATATCAAGTACTGTTTTAGGTATTATGCAATTAGCAATGTTAGCTCCTTATAATAATTTGGCATCATCTGTTGCTGCTGCTTTAGTACCTACTTTGCTCAATCCTAAAATTAAAGATGCAGAAATAACAGAATCTGCAACTTTTACAAACGAGTTGAATAAAAATTCTAAAGGTAAAGATAGAAATACAGTCATAAATGTTGAATTTAAAAATTTTTCTTATTTTAATATCATAGATGGAATTACAAAATCTGAAAAAGAAGAACAAATCCTAAAAGATTGTGATAAATCTCCTTGTAAAAGTATATCATCTCAAGAAGAAAAAATTATTCCCGTATCAACAGTACCAGAAGTATATGTTAGACCTCCGACACCTACGCCATCGACAACTAATTTACCTATAATAACAGTATCCAGTCCAAGTCGTAGAAGTTCTGTCGCTAGTAGGCAAGATAGTGAAATGTCTAAATCTTCTCGTAGAAATTCAGAATGTAGTGTTAAATTCATAAATGAAGAGGATGGTTTTTCAATCGATAGTCGACGTAATTCTGACTTTAGCCCTAAAAATTCACCCGATATTGATAGAAGACGATCTCCGGATAGAATGTGCCGAAGATATTCTGAAAACGTAACACCTTTAGGTAGTATAAGAGATTTAAGACGATGTTCTGATTTTTCACACGAAAAGAATAGAAGTTCTCAATTTGCTGCTAAATTGAAAAGAAATAGCGATTTTGGAAATAGAACACCTAGACGAATGCTACCACCAACTGATCATAAATTGCCAAGAGTAGTAGATCTAAGTCCTACAGGTAGAAAGTATAAAACTTAAAGCATTGAGTTATATTATAAATAAATTCATATAAATTATATTTCAGGTTCGAGACGTAATTCAGATGTTAGCAGTTTTATTTCCAGAGCCGAACTACGTAGAAATTCTGATATTTCCTTTCGACGTAATTCGGAACTCGTTCAAGTTAAGCCATTAGATTTAAATCGTCGAAGTAGTGACATTAGCATTAGAAGCTTGAGTAGAAGTCCAACTCATAGTCGTAATATAGTTCCTGAAAAAATAGAGATACATGAAAAATCTGAATCTGATTCAGATCAACCTGATTGTAATGAAAAAGCAGCTCTAATGGCAGAAAAAAGTAAGATAAAGATAATGATGGAAAATCACGAAAAAAAAATTTATCTTGGAAAAATGAAAAAGAGAAAAAAGATATTGAAGATATAACTGTCGAGACTAATTTGCTTCCTGAAAATATTAAAGTTGATGGAAAAGTTGCGGTATTTCTAATATAATTAGCTATATTTAATTATATTAAATAATACATTTAATTATATTTGTTAAAAAATTATATATAATTTATGAAATTATATATAATTTATGAAATTTAATATTCTCATTCTAATAAATTTCTATTATATTATTTTAATAATTGAATATTTATTTTCAGAATAACGATTTTACACTTCATTCAATATTAAATCATATTGCATACGTAAATAGAACCAAATCCGATACTCCTTTACATGTGCTAGAAGCAAATACTGCGGCAGTTAGAAGATCGCAAATTCAAAAAGTATTGAATGTAACATATATAACTGCGATTTTAGGGATCATTTTATGCATTACAGATATAGCACGTATTTTTGGACCATACGGTAATTTAATATAAAATATATAATTATTATTTAAATTTATTATATATATAATAATAGATTAAAAAAAAATATTTTTAGAAAATTTTTTTTAATTTAGGACTTTTAGCTGAGACTGTGAAATATGGATCAGAACCAACTATTACACAGTATCCTAAACCATGGCCTTGGTTTATGTTTCAAACTTTTTGCAGAAGTTTAGAATTGATTATGGGTTGGGCAATGGCAAGTATTACCAAACAACCATCAGTAAGCCCACGACATCAATATTTAAGCAGTTATCCTAATTATAATTTACATATGAAAAGAGGTAATAATCCTTATATATGAAGCAATATATACTAAATCGAAAATCAAAGAATTGAAATGCCAAAATAAATATTTTAAAATATTTTTAAATATATTTTTAAAATATTAAATTTTATTTAAGTTGATACACAATTTACAAAAAAATATTTATTATATTGTTTTTACAATTATGACTAAAAGAACATGGAATATATAATTCCATTATATGAAATATAAAAAATTTTTTTTAATTAAATTTAATAAAATATAATTAAATAATAATTTTAATTATGAAAAAATAAAAAATAACTAATTAATTAAAATATTATTTAAATAAATATAGCAATAGATCAATATACTGTTTTAAACTAAATAAATACGTGTTCTAACAAAAATTATATATAAAAATAAATTTTTAAAAAAATTTTACACAGGAAATATTCTTCTAAAGAATATATTTTATTGATTGAAAAATATTTCTATTTTTCAAATTAAATTAATTTTTAAATATATTATTTTGATAATATTTTTTAAATTCTTCTTTTTTAAAACAAAAATAAAATATTTTATATTAAAATAGAATAATGAATCTTTACAAAAGAATTAAATTTTCCTAAAAAAAAACCTAAAATCTGTATAAAAAGTATTGTAATAGTAGATAAACCACTCAAGTAAAAAATTTTTACTCTATGTCTACTGCACCAATTGATAAACAATAATAATATCAATTCAACTTTGAAGTGCCCTACTATTAAATGTTCAAAAAATCTTTATAATTGATATGTAATCAATCTCTCTACAAATGCAAATTGTAACAGTGTTGTGATCCTACATGTGATATACAATTCGTGTCTAGAATAGGAGGTCATTTTACGCTTATGTAAGTGTCAAGTTACAATATAACAAACTACCTTATGAGATAAGAGACTGGATAATTTTCATTACTAGTTATAAAAATGTTATTTGTTATTTAATTTTTCATAAATCTTTGTGTATAAGAATATTAAATTTTTTTAAAATAATTTTTATAATCTGACAATTGTTGGAAAATTATTCATTACTTTTATATTAAAATTATAAATATTTTATATTAATATATTTTTATATTCTTATATAATAGTATCAATTACTGTAAAATATTAAAATTATTTGTTAAAATGATATAATTTCATCATTTTAATAAAAATAGTACTTTTGTACATTTTGTATGCTGATATACATGAGAAATAGAAAGAGAGAGAATGTGTGTAATCTATACATATGAAATTTTAATATGTGAAATATATTAAATCAGATTTTCATCATATATTAAAATGATTATTTTTTTAATGTTATTTACATTATTAAAATTTAGATTTGAAGAATTAAATATATTCAAATCATTAATAGCATATTATCATGAAAAAAAATGCATAAAATATAATGTAAATAATTATACTTACACAAGCATGAAATGTCTCACTATTTGTTTAGAAAAAACATAGATAAATGTTTAATGTGCCAAATACTTGTGTTATCAATATAAAATGTTTACAAAGATTAATTTATCTGTATAAATTAATCTTTTAAAATTATTCATATAAATAAATATTTATATACACTTCAATGTACGTACAATAACAAATAATATTTTAATTGTATTGATGAATACTGTTTGAGATGATAGTATACAATAAACTACTATTTTTATCAATGAATATCAGATTATTAGATGAAAAATTGTCATACAAAATTAAATGAAAAATTGCATAATAATAAAAATTTAAAATAATTTAAATAAAATGTAGAGATTACTTCTTTATAAACTATTTCTCTGAAAATTTTATGAAATGTAATAAATATTATATATGTATTTAGATATAAAATTGTATCTTTACTAAAATTTAAATGATCTACAAGAATGAAAAATTAGAATTAAAAAAAAATAAATAAATAAAAAGATTTCAATAAAATTATTTGAGTTATATATATTTCTCTTTAATTAATAATAATCAAATCAAATATAACAATAATTTTCATCAAATTATCCTTTTCCTTAGATTTTAAATAAATCCTTGATACACAATTTTTGATAGCAATAAAATTGTATTCATTATTATAAAATTATTGTAATAATTAATTTGCATATATAACCAATTTTTCTCCAAAAAAATTATAAACAAAAATAAGAATCATTAATCAGAAAATATTTTTCTTTTTTATATTATATTTTATATATATCTCAATAATCTTAAAAATAAATAAGTAAAATCATAAGCAAAAATAGATAAATCTTTTTCTTTTAATCATTATTTTATAAAAAATATATATATTTTAATTTTCTTGTAATTATATATTTTTTAATTATAACAATATTAAAAATTAATCAATGATTATTAAATTTAATGAGAATGAAAAATTATATTATTAAATTCAAATAATTTTTATTATTATAACATTGTAATTTTTATATTCTGATTCTATACATTTTAATACTTAATACATAAGAATTATTTGTATTAGTATTGTTGTCATGTTATATTTCAGCAAATTATCAGAAAAATTTCTTTTTGAAAAAAGTAGAAATGAGATAGAAAAACAATAACAATTTTATAATACAATAGAATATCCATCATTTGTTCTCTCATTGTTCTCATTCAACTTTTTCCAATAGTTTTTCCCTGCTATAATGTAGTTACTGAAAATAGTTAATAAGACAATACTATATAATATATAGTACCAAAGTATTTTTTACTAATGCTTCGTGAATAATTTTATTTTTTATTTTTAAAAAGAAAAAAGAAAAAGTTACATTTAATTATATTTAATTTGATGATTTGTTTCTGAACTTCATCTATCTTTTGATATGATACATAGAAGAAAATAAAGTCTTACAAATTCGCATTTCTCATAAATTGAACAGCATTAATTTAAACAGTAATATTATAATAATGTTATATATTTTTATAAAGAATAAATGTTATTAAAATGTTTAATTAATCAATTATATATTTAACAACACATTTTTATCTAATATGACATTAATTGCATCACTTATATTACTTACACTTTACATAATACAGAGATAGTAATCTTAACCTTGATAATCAAAATAATCTATTTCTGGCTCTGATGTTTTTATGCTTGATGGCGTGTCTGGTTTTTGAGTTTTTTTCGCAGGCAGTGATAATATTGTCCTGAAAAAGAAGAAAGTAATTAGAAGATTATGATATGATATTTTAATATTTATGATACTTAATTAATATTTATTTTACTTTTTTTAAAAATATACACATACTTACTTCACAGATCCATCAGTTTTTGTAGTATTTAACATTGGACCTGGAACTTTTCTTTGACCATTTTCTCGTTGTACAATTTCTAATAAACTATAGCTAGGTAACCAACACTATAATTATAAAATCAGGAAATTAATTTATGAAATTAATTTAATTTTATTGTTTAAATATTATAAAGAAATTACTTTATCTTTTACAGCAGTTGCAACAACATTTCTTTTTGGCTCCTGATCATATGCCTGACTTTCACAGCCAAAATGTTCACAAGACTCGTGAATGAAATGACGCTTATCTTTATTCATGCTGTCAAAAGAATAACTGCGTGATTTTTGTTTAGAAATCTTTGCTAACTGAACCAACTCTGTTAATTTTTCATGAACCATTTGACAAAAATGCGGATCCTTCTTAGCCCATTGTTTCATAAAATCACTATATCTAGGCATTAATTTTCCACTTAAATCTGGATTTATAATTTGTAAACCTAATGCCAATCTTCTATTCCGTTCTATTATTTTACATTCATCATTACATTCTAAAGTTTTTAACTGATTTTGTTTTTTTACTCCTTGACCAAACACTTCTTCCAAATTAATAGAATGACCTAGTTGCATATCAGCCATTTTACTAGCTAATATACTACTTGCTATTCTTTGATATTCTTTAGAATTTTCAGCACAAACACGAAACATAGTTCTATGTCCACATTGACATGTCACCTGTAGAGAATGATTTTTATCAATAAAATTAATATATTATATATAATATATAACATATAATATATAAAAATTCATTATATAATAACAAATAATAAATCTCATTTTTTTTTAAACAAATTTAAATAATTACCTTAACCATTTCCTTACAAGGTGTATCTGGACATTTACCCTCATGACATGGAGCAGCACAAATATGTCCACACATTTCTCTTAAAGTAGTGCAAGGCTGAGAACACTGTTGTCCTGGTTTTTCACATGGTCCAGGATGACAAATAGTAATACATTTATGTCGACCACAAGATATAGGTTTATTACATGATAAACCACATGAAATTTCATTAACATGACATGGCACAGCTTTTCGTAATTCGTGTTTACCATGACACCATCTTTGAGTGAGAACAGTACAAGGTGGGCAAGTTATTTCACTATGACAATTATGCAATACTTCATGCCCACAAGAATGCTGGCGAGAACAAGGTTTATCACATACAGGTCTTCTTGTTCCACATGGAACAGGAGGATATATCACTGAAGATCCACATTCACAATATAGTTCATCAAAACTACTACGCCAGCAAGGTTGACATCTCCCTATATTAAAATATATTATATTACTTTAATTTTTTATATACAATAATAGTTAAAAGTTAATAATAATAGTAATAATAAAAGTTAAATAATAGTTCAAAGTTGATTTAGTAATATAATCTATCATGTATTATTTTTTCTTTCCATTATAAACTATTTTAAACTTTTTTAATTATAAAATTTAATTTTGAAATTTATTTATAATTAACATAATTTAATACCTTTATGACATCTTTGTTCACATTTATGTCTACCACAACTTAAAGTTTTAGAACAAATTAATGGACAAATATGTTCTATTTCTATACAACATAGTTGATTACATTTGTGTTTGCCACAAGATCTTTTCTTTATACATTTTTTTTCACATCTTGCATCATCAGCTTTTGATATTAAATCTTTACAAGCTATTTCTCTATCCATATTTCCGCAACGACATTTAACATCTGTAGATAAATCACAAACAGGACAATCTCCTTCATGACATCTTGCTTTACACTTATGAGGATTATCTATAAATAATATATTATATTACAATTTCTTATAATTTTCTTATCTTAATAATATAAAATATGTATAGTATTCCTAATTTAAACTACTCACTAGGTTGTCCACATTTTAAATTTTTCGAACATATTTTTTCACATATAGGAATTGGATCTAAACAATTTTGTCTTTTATCTGTTAATGGTGTTTGTCCACAACAGCAAGTTGTAATTTTCTCAGGAATTAAAGAACAAGATTCGCAAGCATCTGCATGACATAACTTTGTACAAGTATGATTGCCGCATTCTAATAATTTACCACAAACTGTTTCACAAGAATATGTAAGTGAAATATTACTTTGGCAAGTTATTTCTCTTGTATTTTTACCACAAAAACATTCTGAAAATTAAATTTATTATCAGAATTAAATATTTAATATTTTAATTAATATTAAATTACAGTTAAAAATATACTTTGTGTTATTGTTTCTTCACAATTTGCACATTCTCCATGATGACATTTTTTTTGACATTTATGTCTGCCACAATTTAAATTCTTATCACATATGGAATCACACAATAATAATTTATGAACACTACATTGCACTGTTTGCAAAGTTTTACCACAGCCACAATATTTTGCTACCATTGCAGTGCATTGTGGACAAGATCCTGGGTGACATAAAAGAGTGCATTTATGAGGACAATTATTTTTTGATAACATTCTACCACAAATTTCACCACAAGAATGTGCAACATCTCTACGATTCCATTCAGGTGCTTTTGTTTTACCACAAAAACAAAAATAATCTTCAGGAATTATTAAATTAACATTTTGACATGCTGGACATCTCCATCCATTTTCTATAACAATACAAACAGTTATTTATAATTGTATTATAATTGTATTTATATTTATAATCATTTATGTATAATTATTATATTATTAATTATAATTATTAATTACTTACCAGCTTGTGATGATTTTGCCCATTTTTTAATACATTTTAAGTGTAGAACATGATAGCAATTAGAACATGACCAAATATAATCGTTTTGTTTAATATATTCACAACATACTAAACATTCCAATTGCCCCCTATTCAGCTGCTCTGTTAATCTTTCTCTTTGACTTGCATCATCATCTATATAATAAAGCAATTATGTTACATAATATATAATATATTAAAATTTAATTTATATACATACCAATTGGTGATCTTTTATTTTGTCCTCGTTTTTGGATATTATTTCTTTCGCTAATTTCTTTTTTATTTCGCCAATATTCATTTCCTTTTTCTTTATTTCCAAATACATAATGTTTATTTTTATCTTTTTCTTTAAAAATTTCCATTTTACTTTCCTTATTATATTCTTTAAACCCGCTATATCCTTGATAATTATGTCTTTTTTCTTTTACTTCCTTTGTTCTAATCCAGTTTCCTCACTAAAATTTTCTTTATATTCATTATATTCTCCATTGTTATATATTTGGCCTTTTACTTTAAATTTATCTTCTTTGTAATAATTTTCTCTACTATATCCTTGATATTGAAATTGCTTTTCTTTATAATTTTCCTCTCTATTATATCTATCATTATATTTTCTTATACTTTTATGATTATTATAAGTTTGTTTTAGGCCAGAATTATAGTAAGTTAATTCCTTAATTAGATTATTAGATTGTGATATATCATTAGACTGTATATTATCAGCAATAATAGATCTTTCATCATTATCCTCATTTGATAAATTTTTATTTTTATTTATATTCATATTCATATTTAAAGATGATTCTCTTTCTTTTTTATTTAAATTTGTAATAGAATCTTTTTTACTATTACAAGCATCATTGTTATTCATTGTACGTTTATCTGATGCATCTTCATTTACATATTTTGAATTTACTTGAGATTTTCCCGAATAATATTTGTTGGTAAAGTATTTATTACCTAGAAATTTATAAGGTGTCTTCATTTGTTGTGGATAAGAATTTGTATTTGTATTTCTTCTATAATATTGATCTTGTTGTCCTTCTTTAGGTTTATAATTAGAACTTCTTTTGTTATTATATTTTTTTTCATATCTATTTGCATTACAAAAGAAATATTTATTTGATTTTTTGTTATTTTCTTTAACACAAACATCTGAATCATTAATAGATTTTGTATTTAATAATTCATTATTTTTCTTTTTATCATCATCTTCTTTATTATTTGGTACAAATTCTTGTGCCATAACATGTAATTTTGAATGATTTGTTATGTTACTTGAAGTCTTTTTAATTCTTTTTATAGAATCATGTTTTATCTTATTCTTTAATAAATTATAATCAGAATTCCAATTGTTTTCATATATATAACATTGTTGAGAATCGACATTTGGAAAATATTCTTGATTATTTAATACTTCTGTATTACCTACAGAATTTGTTACATGACCATGATAAGTGCTTGTGGTCAATAAATTTGGCATGACATTTGTATTTGATTGATAGAAAGTATTTGGATTATTTTGTTCAAATATAGGTTCATTTTGTACATAAAATTCGTGATTAGGTTGTAAATAATCATTATTTATATTATTAGGAAATAATGTCCAGTTTCTTGTTACAGTTCCAGAAACATTTTGATCGGAATAAACGTAACAATTTTGATCATCTGGTCCTGAGTAAGAACCATCCCAAGTAGCCATAATTTTTCTAACTTTATGAGTATATTTATGAAATATTTTCTTCGTTATAATTTATTATACAATAAATATAACAACGATACAGTTATGCTTATAAATCTCTTTTAATACAATATTGAACTGACACGCAATCAAAACCTAAATATGATCAACTTATTATTCTAAAAATTTTATATATTTAAATTACTTACATTTTAAAATAAAATACAATATGTACTAATAATACTTGATAATTACGATGTAATAAGTATCTTAAGAATTCTGCAAAAAATAATATAAGATAAGACCGATATCGTAAGACGAAAAGGTATGAAAGCGTTTTTACTCGTGACTTATCGAGCACGAATCATATAATCAAAACATGTAATTAAAATTTCACAGAAATTGCATATTGGAACAATTAAATCAAATTGTAATTGTATGAAATAATATTTAGAAGATTTAGAATATTTTATAACAAAAAAATTTACATATTACATTTAATATAAAAGTTAATTGTACTTACAATGAGAGATCTTTAGAACCTTGTTAGATATTGAATGAACGAGAGAATTAATTTACTATTTGTGGGATAGATGGCACTATAGCATCATATTCAATTTAATTTAGTACGATTCTTAATCTTTTATACTTATTTGTGCTATTATATTGAAAATCATATATTGTACTATAAATATATCACCAATTTTACAAAATTTTCTTTAATTATATATAATATTATATATAATATTATGTTAGTGCTAATTTATTCAAAGATAGTATTATACTATTAATCTTCTAAATATATTTACAGGGTTATTTTCGTAGTTTATTCTTGTAAGTTTCATGCATTATTATATTTTTAGATTTTTATTTGATATATTATAAAAATTTATTTATTATAAATAACTCTGCTTTTCTTAATAAATTTTAAATTATTTTTCTTATTTTTTATTTAGCAAAAATATGACAACAGAAGAAGGAAATCGTAACTCAACATTACAATCATTAGAAGAAAATGGTGTAACTAGTACATCACAACATGCAGGAAATAGTAGAGAACCAAATACTGCCAGATCTCAGGAACAAAGTAGTCGACAAAATAATCTGCAAAGAATACAACAAAGAAAGCAACAAATGTTAAATTTACCACAAATGAAAAAAATATTAAAAATTGCAACATATAGTGCATGTAAAGTTGATGATTGCAAATGTATTGGATGGAAAAATTCTCAAATAATAACTAAATCTAAAAATGATGCACAACAACCTGTTATAAATTTTTTTGATCCTTGTAAAAGTTGTAAACATGTTTTAGAAAATCATGTTTCACATTTAACTAATCAATCAGAAGAAGAAATCAATAAATTATTATGTATGGTCATAGATGCTGATAATATTTTTCTAGGATTACAAAAAGAAGAAGATCCTGATACGAAAAAAGTTTATTTCTATTTATATAAACTTTTGAGAAAATGTATACAATCTATGACTAAACCTATAATAGAAGGTCCTTTAGGACAACCACCTTTTGAACGACCTAGTATTGCAAAAGCAGTAATGAATTTTGTTGCTTATAAATATGGTCATTTACCACAAAGAGATATGCAAGCTATGTGTGATATGGCAAAGATGTTTTTACATTGCTTAAATCATTGGAATTTTGATCCACTTAGTGCTAGGAGAGGCACAATCAGTGCAGAAGAAGCTCCTGCATATAAAATCAATCATACTCGTTGGCTTGTGTTTTGTCATATACCAGCATTTTGTGACTCATTACCTCATTACGATACATCTCTAGTTTTTGGACGAACATTTGTTCAAGCTGTTTTTAAGCCAGTTTCTAGACAATTATTAGATAAATGTCACAGTGAACGAGATAAATTGGCACCAGAGAAAAGAGTAATAGTGTTAACACATTTTCCTAAGTATATAAAACTTTTCATTTTTGTTTCATTAATTGATGTAATATATAATATATTTATTTGATTTAATTTTTTAGATTCTTATCAATGTTAGAAACAGAAATTTATTCTGATAATTCACCAATTTGGGATCCTGATTATAAACAAGTACCTCCTACTTATTTACAATCTGCTTTGGAATCAAAAGCAAATCAAACAAGAAGAACAGGTGAATTTGAAAAAGTCACTGTTCCACCAAATGATAAAGATAATTATACAACAATTAATATAAGTCCTGGTATAAAAAAGATTCATGAAAAAAGATCACATTCTGAAGGTCGTTCAGATGTAAAAAGAAGAAAAAATGAAGAAATTTTTGAAGATTTATCAGAAGAAACAGTTGCTGAAATTGTTGCAACCATTAATGATCCTAATTATATGTGTGGACCTGATGCAGTATTTCCACCAAATGTTCCACGAGATGAAACTGCTAAAATTGAAGAAAGCAGAAAGATTATAGAATTTCATGTAGTTGGAAATAGTTTAACACAACCAGTTTCTAAACAAACAATGCTTTGGTTAATTGGATTACATAATGTATTTAGCCATCAATTACCTAAAATGCCAAAAGAATATATATCTCAATTAGTTTTTGACCCGTTAGTATATTATATAATAGAATAAATATATTTTTTTGATTACATTTTATTACAACATTTTCTTTATTTATAGAAAACATAAAACATTAGCTCTAATAAAAGATGGTCGACCAATTGGTGGTATCTGTTTTCGAATGTTTCCTACTCAAGGTTTTACAGAAATAGTATTTTGCGCTCTTACCAGTGAAGAACAAGTTAAAGGCTATGGTACACACTTAATGAACATGCTTAAAGATTACCATATAAAAAATAATATATTACATTTTCTTACATTTGCGGATGAATTTGCAATTGGATATTTCAAAAAACAAGGATTTAGTAAAGACATAAAATTACCTCGATCAATGTATCAAGGATATATTAAGGATTATGAGGGTGCAACATTAATGCATTGTGAATTAAATGCAAAAATTGTATATACTGAATTCACGGCTGTTATACGAAAACAAAAAGAAATTATTAAAAAGCTAATTCATCAAAGACAACAGGAAATACAAAAAGTCCATCCTGGTTTAACATGTTTCAAAGAAGGTGTTAGGGGAATTCCAGTAGAGTCTATTCCTGGTATTCGTGAAACTGGTTGGAAAAATTATGCTCAGACAAGAACAAGAGGAGTAGCTAAAGGAACTCAAGGACCAGAACCAATGGAAGCATGCTTAGATATCACTGATTCTTTATATAATGCATTAAAAAATGTTTTAAATAGTGTAAAAAACCACAGTACAGCATGGCCATTTTTAAAGCCTGTGGATAAAAATGATGTGCCGGATTATTATGATCATATTAAATATCCAATGGGTAATTATAATGAGAATTCAAATTATTATTAATCATTATTAATAATAAAAATCATAAAAAATAAAATTTTTAATAATTTATATTTTTATGACTTTTCAGATCTCAAAACTATGACTGAACGATTGAAAGCTAGATATTATGTTACAAGAAGATTATTTATTGCAGATATGACACGAATTTTTACTAATTGTCGTTTATATAACAGTCCTGATACTGAATATTATCGATGTGCTAATGCTTTAGAAAAATATTCCAAACAAGAATGAAAGAAATTGGTCTTTGGGATAAATAAAAAATATAGATTAAAAGTAAATAATCATAGCTATAATTTCATTTGTAAATATAATAATCTAAAATTAGTTAATTCAACAAAGAATTTTTAAAAGAATAAGAAAAATAATAAAAAATAAATTTTATTTATTTATTTACCTATACAATGTCTATCTTTAAAATGAGTTAAAAATATTTGTATATAATATTCGCAATTTATAATAAATTTAGTATTATATTCTTTTATCATTTTTACACTCCAAAAGAAACGATTAAAAATAGAATATACAACTAATTCAAATTAGATACTTAATTTCACGGCCTAATTATGAGGATTAGTCGAACAGTTAATTAAGGAATGTAATACACCGATTATAACGAGATTCTGCATAGTGATTATTCTATGGAACAGTGAATCTCTAAAATGCGTTAATTCTGGAAGACTTAGTAAACTGGAATTTCCATTTTCTATAAATATAATTAACTAAAATAAAATTAAAATAAAAATAAACATTTGTATATAAAATATTTTTTTTAAATACAATTAAAAATTTATATACAAGGAAGAAAAATTCTTTTTTTTCTTTAATAAATTTTCTATATATAGACTTTATTTAATTTTGTAATTCTTCACATATATATTTAATAAAATAGAAGTTTATTTTCACTTTCATTGATAAATTGTGATTTACTTGTCATGAATACAAATGATGTAATCTAAATTACTTTAGTTAACAAAATTTAACATTGCTAAAGAGACGCGGAAATACCTTGTATGCTCTACTTCTTATAAAGTCTATATGAACTTTAGTAACAATCTCTTAATTGGCACATATAAAAAAACCAATTAAATTCTATCATAAAGTATTTATTTCAACTTTTATATTAAATATAAGATCATTACTGTTATATGTTAGAAATATTGTATTATTAATGCAATTATTATTCAAATTTTAAATTAAATTATATTAACAAATCTATTGTCAATAAAAATATACATGATAAAATAAATAATAACATTTAGATTTAAATATCAATAATATTTGTTGGGAATTATAGAAATGCAATGTACGAAAATTATTTCATTACATTAACTTATATGTATACTAATTCATTAAGGTGTTAGAAACTATTTAATATATAGGCATGAATGCATAGAGGTAGTATAAAAAGAGGGGGCATCAATATAAAGGAGCTCCATTCTTCAGCAGAAACAATATTAAAGAAGTCAATGCACTGTCGAGATAGTGCAAAATCTAGTCAAAAAAGTTTTTTCCTATTTTTGGCAATCAACTTTAATCTTTTTGTATACAAGTAAAATAATTTTCGATTTAAAATGTGTGATGACGACGTAGCAGCTTTAGTAGTAGATAATGGATCAGGCATGTGTAAGGCAGGATTTGCAGGAGATGATGCTCCACGTGCTGTATTCCCTTCTATTGTTGGAAGACCTAGATATCAGGTAAAATTTATAATTAATAATTAATAAATTTAATTATTTATTAATTTATTTATATTATAAAATATTAATTTAATTTTATTTATTTTTCTGAAGATTAATAAGAATTTATCAAGTTCATAAATAATTTTTCTTTGTATATATATATATATATAAAATTATAAAATAATTGTTTTATCATAATTATAATTAAAAATATGTTTAATATTATCAAATTATACAATTTTTAAATTTTAAAAATTCGATATAATAAAAATTCAATATTTAAATTTATAAGAAATTTACAAGGAAAAATTAATAATTATTTTTTTTTTAATTTGAAAAATCAGATTAGAAAATTTATTTTTATTCTGAAAACAATAAAAATAATTATAATAGGGAATTATGGTTGGTATGGGACAAAAGGATAGTTATGTGGGAGATGAAGCACAAAGTAAAAGAGGTGTTTTAACAGTTAAATATCCAATTGAACATGGTATTGTAACAAATTGGGATGATATGGAAAAAATAT